TCCCCACTTAGCCCCTTCAGTGAGTTTGAGGAACTACAGGCAGGATCTAGTGCCCCACTGCCCAGAACACTGCACACACCCAACTCCGAGGTCAGGCTGCCCCTGAATGAGGGCTGAGTCCTGACAAGTATGTTGTTGTTCATGCACTGTCATGGACTTCTGTGGACCTCCATAAACATCCATGAACATTCATGGACCCTTCTAATAATGCTCCCATGGGTATTCATGGGTATCCATGGGCATTCATGGTACCCATGGAATTTCATGGAAATTGGAAGATAATGTTGTACATGGGCTTTCATGGGCTTTCATGGGCTTTCATGGGTGTTCATGGGTGTTCATGGGTGTTCATGGCCCCCCATGGAAATCCATGGAAGCCCATGAAAGCCCATGAAAGCCCATGAAAGCCCATGAAAGCCCATGAAAGCCCATGAAAGCCCATGAAAGCCCACAAAAACCCATGAAAGCCCATGAAAGCCCATGGAAACCCATGAAAACCCATGGATATCCATGGAGCCCATGGGAGATATTACACTTTTCAGATGTTACTCGAAGCCAATGATCTCCAACTGAGGACCATAAAGTTGTTTGTTGTCCTCATGAGGAACTCCAATTTCGTCAAGCAGGCACAAGAAAAGTGCCTGGTCAGTAGGAAGGAGATGATTGTATGGCTCGTAGAGGACAAGGTCCCCATCGAAATCAGCATTGAAAGTGTCATCAACATAATGGAGCATGTCCCAGATCCCTAGGACATGCATTGCAACCCAGCAGACCAGACCAAAGAACAAGCACCATATACGTCCTGAAGCGTGATTCCCAAAAACAGCACAATGATCAATGTGGTATTCGTTGCCAATGAGAGTAGCTTGATGAGTTTGCCAATGTGGGTGCATCGGGAGGTGTCGGTATGCCTGAGAGGCATCCGACTTCCAAACTAACTTGGGTGCCACCCCCCCATTTCCTCTCATAATGGCACGAATATTTGATGCAAGGTCAGATAAGTTGTCGAGGATTACAAATCCTCCATCTGCAGGAATCAGGGAACTTAAAGACTTCTCACCCACACTATGGTTGTTAACTGACTGCAACTTTGTACACCCTTTCTTCGGAACAGTAAAGATTGGTTGTGCAACCATTCCGGGTAAGAGAACCTTTCCAAAAGATGGGGAATAGCGATCAAGTGACATCTCAAGATCGCGCTGTCTGTTTAGAAAGAGGCTAGATTCCTCATCTAAATTGGGTGAACCATGAGGGCGCAAGACAACCCCACTGGGAACCAGAGTGGGATCGTCAACATTGGCGAAAGGCCAGAAACCATAGCATAGTCCTTTGCACATAGACTGAACCAGTGGGCAGTTCGGGTGTGAAGAAAGGAGCACCTCAAAATGGTCAGCATTGATTGGAGTAACAACCTTGAACAAGTGAGAGTGTGATTTGAGTGTTTGCGTAATGTCGTGAAAATGGAAATCACTGGCAGGAACATCTGGGAGGGGAGGCACGACTTCAGTGTATGAGGCAGAGGGTGTTCAAGTGAGTTGTTCTCCCAAACATGAATTGCATGTATCGCAGTCGCTTTCCCAGAGGTTCACTATCGCCAGGCTCCATTCTTTTCTTTCGCTTTCGAGCATTCAGTTGCCCCATGACTGCTTGAGAAACATGACTGGCATCTGTGGTAAAATTGGCAGTCGGTGCATTTACAGCCTCCATGTTTGTTGAACTCGTGACAGATTGGTAAATCATTGAAGTTGGCAGGGCACTTTTGTTTCTGACCGGTCTTTGGACGAGACTGGCCATCACCTCTTTGATTGAGTCCATTGTTCCCAGCTCCACTGGCATTGAGTCCACTCCCCTGGGTCGTTGGGTTCAGTGCGAGGTAGAGTTCAAGGAGGGTTGGGAGGATAGTGTGCAAATCGTTGAAGGCAAGCCCGGTGTTACCATGGAAGAACTTCCGTGCTGCTTGATCGTACTTGATGTTGAGAGCAGCATTGGGATGGCTATTGAATCATTCAATGATGTGGTCATGATAGACTTCGAGTTCTTGCATTCGGTGTGGGAAGGCCCAGAGAATTGCCGTACAATATTTCTTCCATGCATAGGTCCACTGCATCGAGTTAGTGAGTTTCGTTTTACTGACAGACGGACCTCCGGTTGATACGTCAATCCCTTCACCGATGACAACACTGTCGAAATATCGCATTGTTCAGGTGTGTCTTTCCTCAATGAGAGCCCCAAAGTCGAGGAGTCTGTTAGCGAGAACATCCTTCCAGAGGAAAGGGGGGAAGTCAGGCTGTCCTCCTTGTGCTTGGAGACTTCAGATGGCGCATTTGATGTTAGCGTCGTAGATGTTTCAAAGTCGATGTGTCTTTTGAGCCATGGAGAGGTAACGTTCCTCTGAGTTTGTCCAGGGTGGACCTCCTCCCGGAAAACGCCAGTTCCAAGCATACTCCCCTCGGTGGTCATCTTCCTCATCTGCGACACGTTTGAGTGGGTTTTGGTGGCTTTTTGAGAGGAGACAGTGGATTTTGGATGGTGGTTGAAAGATATTGACTCCTCCCGAATCGGGAGACCCAGGTGAATCATCAGGGCTTGATTCGTGAGCCCCATCCGCTCGAGCAGCGGTCTCGTCTCACCTACTTGGTTCCTCACTGTCAGGGTACCGAGCTGCTTGGACTCTAAGTCGAGGGATCCCGAGCCTTCGCTGGAGCTGAGGCTGAGGGGGACAGGATCAGTCTCAATGGGGGAACCCGGCAAAGTGGATTGCGATAGGGATTCCAGCTGAGCAGCAAGGGGAAGTGAGAGAAGAAAGTTATCTTCCTCACTCGCTACCCAGGGAATGATAAAGTCAGTATGCCCGGCAAAGTGGGGCTGCTCTACAGAAGGAAATATAACAAATGTCTGTGCCAGTCCGGGGATGATGATCAGGCTGTGCGGGTATGGGGCAAGTGTGTCATCAGTTGTGTGTAAGCAGTCCGGACTTAACTGGGCTGTACTCTGACACTCACCTCACGATCCTCTAACTCCAGCTTCTGTTTGGGAGCAAGCTGCGACCTCGAGTCAGTCTCCATACCTCTTCAAGGTGTCTGCATGTTGGGTGGTTGTAAGGTCTGACTCTGACTCCAACTGTGCATTGACTGCATTGTACACTTCGAATATGGACGATTTCTGGAGGTTGTAATCAGCGAGGATCTGATCGAGGTCTTGCAGGAGTGAATCGAAGACACCATCTCTTGGTTGTTCCAGCGGGACTTGTTGTCCCTTGGAGGGTCTGTCAGCAGGGACTTGTTGGCTCCTGGAGGGTCGGTTAGCAGAGTCATCTTGGCTCATCACCAATTGTAACTGTCAGAGACCAGACTTGAGACGAAAGAATGTCTCCGTAACGGAGGGCTTCGGCCCCAGCGACTTCTGCCAGGAGCGCTGTGCCTAGTGACACGTCCGTGCCCTAACTTACTGACTGGCAATTAGAACCTAGGGGGGAACTCTAGTTGATTTTTCTACTGGGGCGTAACCTATGTACAAGTGGGATATATATATGGTTACAGCGGGGACGGTTCCGCAATTGGCGGAGCCGAACGGAGTGGAGCTAACGGGGTTTAACCATTAGCCGACTGAATATTACCGACGAGTCGGTTCGCAGGGTTAGTGGAAAGGCAGGCGTTAACCCAGAAACGGAAAGGAGGGATAGGCCCGAAGGTGGGCTCTGCAGGGCAGGCGAGTGTATTGCCCAGCGGAGGCGGGAGTGCGCTAGCGGACGTCAGAGCTGTCCGGAAGTCTTCGGGGCTCCGTACTTAGGGAGGCATAGGTAATAAATTGGAATGGGGGGGTGGTGACCATCGAGGGGTACCGAGAGGATTGCGGAATAACGGGGGCTCCAAGGTTAGTGAGGGAGGAGCGGAGTTGGAACGGAGGAATCGGAGGGACCCGAAGTCGATGGCTGGGGATGGATATGACAGTAACTTAGGTGTAACTTGACTTTATGATGATCAACGATCCAACCCTGCATATTGGATGAGTTGGGGGATCTGAGGCATTTGGCCACTTCTCTGGCAGGGGTACTGCCAAAGGTTGCATGTATGGGGGAGCTGTCAACCATGGGGTCATCTTCCTCATTAAAGTTAGGAGGCAGTGGGGGAGGATTTTGGGGATTGTTGAGCTTTGGCTGTGGAGAGATGAGGAGAGATGTTTGGTACTCTTCAAGGTGGTTTTTGTGGGACAAGAGGTACTACGGTAGTTGTACTTTGTGGCACCGCCAGCCTAAATCCTTTGCGGGATTACCCTGGTGCTGAGGAACTGCATCCAGGTGCACCCAACTCCTGGTCCTGACCCGAAAGTGTTACCATGGCTGCATGCCAGCACTTCCTTCCATTTAGGAAGCAGTGGTCCCAGTGTGTTTCATCTTTCTTGTGTGTCATATTTCACATGATGTTCGACACCATGTCGAACCGATATATATGGCATTGCACTTATTCTGCAACAACCTTCTGGTGGAGCAGGATATGCAAATAATATGACAACTCAGTGGGCATAAGGGATTTCCAACAATTGATGTATTTCTTAGTTTAGTGCAACATGGCGTACTGTTGTTCACAAACAACACAACCAAAACACAATGAGGGTAGCTTAATAATAGTGCTTAGTGAACAACAAGAACATGCAGCGCATTCTGCTTTTGATTGCAAACCAAATCATAATATGTTGCACTAAGAACTCCCTTGATGTTGTGTTTGTGAGCAAGCCTGATGTGCAGCAAAATATAATATACCAAGCTACTATGTGGAGTAGTGTTCTTAAAGTAGTAATATAACCTTTATGGTTGAGTTGCAAATGGAAATTATTATTGCCTTAGTGTGCAGGCATACTAGTGCTCAAGAACAGTAATACAACCAACCAGTGGGAGACACATTGTGTGACAGAAATTTCTGTCACAGTGGATTCAATTGTGGGCACGGTATTCAATGGCACTTGCCAAAATTTTTTTCTCTATTGCACATTCACAACCCTCCATGGCATCCAGGGAAACAACACCTTCAGATCTGGGTGAAGATCTCCAACCCATCAGGTTCCCAGCATATGTCAGAAAGGCATTCAGATTGGATTCTGTCAGAACACCAGGGGGGCTGAACATCCAATTTGAGCAACTCCTTTTAGAAGGCAAGAATGATGATGGCAGATATTACAAGCTTGATACTGCAGACATGAAAACCAACCTGTTTGGTGATGATGCAGGCATCTCCCTCCACAGGGACTTTGACTCTATCATTGGGTTCTATCAGGGGTTGCCATTATTCGACAGTGTGGAGCTTTCCCTTGTCCCTTGTCCTATGGATTCTCTCTCTGGTTCCATCAATCTGCATGTGAAGCTTCCAGATCATCTATTTGAGATTGTGAGCCTTAGTGTCATTCATACTCTAACCCTTACAACCCAGAACTGTGAACCTGGGGACCATGTGACAGCACCAAATAAGATTGCCAACTATTGCCTTGGCAATTATTCAAAAAATGGCCTCATTAGAATTTTTTTCCCATACTTCACCCCTTCCACAACCCCACCTGGCCCAACCCACACAAATAACACCAACAACCCCAACAACACCGACAATGACAACAATGGTAACAACAATGGCAACAACAACAGGGTCAGCGAGACTTATATTGCAGAATTCTATGATGAAATCCTGCATCCGGCTTTGATTCATATCCTTCCACATTCCTTGCCTTCATTTCCCCCTTATCAGCTCTTGGGTGGGAAGCCTCTGGTTTCTGCTGCTCTGCTAGGTGAACTGGTGGAACATATGAGAGATTGCCTGGAGAGGAAGAAGGAAAACTTCCAATGGGCTCGCAGCTTCTTCTTTGGCCTTGAGATCAAGGGAATCAAACTCAGCACCACACATCCTGTCCCTTTTAACAATGGCACAGAGGAAGGGCAGGGTTCCAGTGAAGAGGATCAAGAGACAATCTTCAGACAACTTATCCTGGGGATGTTTCACAGTGGACTCACATCTCTAGAACAGCAAAGCACATGGGTGGATGTGGGGCTTGAAATAAGCAGGAAGGCCCATGTTCTTTACTGGGATGCATCAGAGCACCACCAAATTCTTCAGGTCCTTGCCACAGGGTATCAGGGGGATGTGGAAAGACAATGGACACAGCCTGGAAGGGAGGGGTATTTCTGCAACATTCAAGCAGGAATCCTATCTCTGGCTGGAGGACGCTGTGCATTGCCTCATCTCCCCCACTTACCCATTTATGCACAATGGTATGTGTCAGAGAAGGCCATTTGTAGGAGAGCTGACAGGTTTGACCCTATGCTGGGAATCACGAAAAAGAATGGGTTTGGAGAAAAAACCAAGGATAAACTGAGAGTGGAATTCGATAATCTGGAGGAAGTCTGGAATTCAGCTCATCATGAGAGGACGGAAGGGATGTTGTAGGTGGGCACAGCCGGTACTGCACAAACGAACCGAATATTGCGATTTCCCCATCCCTGCACATCTGCACTTCACTAAACATGTCGTACACATCCTCATATACTATTCCTACCCTTCCATGATTTCTTCCTATTTTTCCAGACACATTCCCAGTCCTCACAGACCAAATTCCCACGCCCACCCAGCAGCGTGGCCACACTCAGACTGGATTTCACTTATCTCAGCAACCACTGCACTGATTTGGACGATATTGGTACCGTTGGAAACGCGTCATTTAGGAGTATTAGGATCCGTGATTAGCGGGAGTTCATTGGCGATGGATAGAGTTGGGTATTTTTTGGCAGGAAATCATTTATCGCTTTATTGTTTTCTTGATTATTGTTTTCCCTTCTTTTTTCCGATATTGTTTGTTGCCCATATGATCCACCTAAGCACATTGGGCACATCGGATATTTTTTATCATTTTTATTTGATCATTTCTCATATATACCTGTACATGAGGATGTATCTACTTTTCCCCTTGGATTAGAAACCACCGAGTTTGCCCCTCCCAAGCTAGTAGGGAGTATTACGATGAAGAACATCAGTAAGAAGACCTCTAGATCAGTCCTCACTTTAGTGTCACCCAGAGAGGTGGGGTGAGAGATTGATTAGAGCCACCCACGCACCGCACCGGACCATTATCACCATTACCCCTTTTTTTCCTGACCTGCTGGATACCAATCCGGTCCCCGTCCTTTCCTGTTTTCCTAGTGGGTTAGACCCCGAGCCCACTTACAACGTCAAGATTGGAGATACATGTTCCTGTCACGACCCGGCAATTCCCACCATCAGGTGATCACTCCCCACACCTTCTCCCTCCCCCGCGTCGACCCCGTCAACTCCACTGCCTGCCCGACACCGCCTAGACAAGCCTGTCACCCTTCCCCATCACCGCTACCTGTTTCCACGGCCTGTCACGGGCCTACAAGTCTCTCCTTATCACGCTTGTTTTTCTTGATGGCCGTGCACAGCTGTCCTTCTCCCACACTCTTTGTTTGTTTTCGTTCCTTCTTAACCCCGCCCGCAATCTCCATGAGATCTGGCAACTTATTTCCATTCATTCTGTTATACTTAACTACCGGTTGTACACTACCTCGTACTTTAGTTCGAAAATCAACTAGGGTTACCCCCTGCACTCTCTGTCTGACTTAGTTGCACCCTCTGCCTTCTGAAATATCGGGGCCGCGTCAAGTACGAGGCGCAACGCTCATGAACGAGTCGTTGAAGCCGAAACCCTGTTTCGCCGTGATTGTGTCAGGGACGCGTCCGGGGTAGAGGAGGCCCGGGTGAGACGCCCGACACTAGGAGCCGAGCGGGGCATGGAGCGGGCGTGCGTACTGGCGGGCCCGGCTCAGGAGGCAGTCCCTGGCCACTTAGACTGAAGTGGAAAAGGGTGTTATTATTATTAGAAGGGAATACTATGTTACTTACCTGAAGTGGAAAAGGGTGAGAAGAAGGCTACTTCTTCGGTTCCCACTTCAGGTATGTTTATATACATGCGGCTTAGGTCACATGACGGGTGCCACGTCATCCTCGCATACAGCCGTAGTCACCCGGGTGTCCCCGTGGGGGATGTTACAGGAATGGGTTCCAGGGAACCCAACCTGAGCCGTTTGGCTCACTAATGGAGGTGGCTGCATAGCCATCAGAGGGAGAGCGGAATAGGATGAGTGTACGGAAGTACAACATGTGTGTCGGCCAACGGTAACTTGGCGCTCCTGGGAGCGTACCGGTAGCGAGTATGATGTGGGCTCCTTGAGGGAGCCACCTGGCTGTCTGCTAACGGGGACTTGGCGCTCCTGGGAGCGTGCCGGTAGCGGGTGTGCTGGGGGTGTTTGGCTAGCGGTGACTTGGCGCTCAATGGAGCGTACCGGTAGTGAGGGATACTGGGACTCCCAAAGGGAGTCACCCAGTTGGTGGCTATCGGTGACTTGGCGCTCATGGGAGCGTACCGGTAGCGGGAGTTGTTGGGGAAAGCGGGCTGGTGGACCAGTGCACGGTAGTGGGTGACCGTGGGAAGTGGGACCCGCGGGTGCGTGGCCGGGCATCCTGGAGCTGCCTGGACTGTATCCTTCTCCTGAGGAGGTGGGATAGGTTACAGTTCCTGATAGGGAACTTCTGGTTGGATGGGAGTAACCACTCAACCACCCGGTGGACTGGTGGGAGTGGGTAGCAGGAGGTTGGGCGTGGGAATGCCCACCTCGTTGCGGTTTTGTCATGGAGAGGAGGAATAGGGAGGTGGACATGGTTCCAGGGTTACAGGTTGAGTTTACAGTGGTGACACAATGGTGAGGATGTTACAATCGCAGTACAAGGTTTGTGGGTTATGTATTTGATAATGAACAACATCCTCGGCATTTGCCTTTACATGTCATATGACTGGTTTCTATCTAATATCAAAGTCTCAATGGTCAAGGGAAGTCCCTTGAAACTTAACAATTCCCCCAGCCAGCACCAAAACCCAGTGGGAAAGCTTGGCATGGAGTTTGACAGAGAAATATAATGGAGGGCAGAGACAACCTACCTACTTGCAGTCACGGACCATAAGAATCTAGTCCATCTCTATAACAGGGGATCCCGAGGGCGTCCGCTGTGAACGCGCAAGCTGGACATAGCGGGGGTCGCCCGAGGCGCCCGGGCTGGGTGTGTCGTGAGCGCGCTGCAGGTGGGTCAATGGTACATTGATACAAGGAAAGGTCGTCCGTGTAGAATAAAGAGAAAATAAAGAGAGGGTGAGATAAGTAAAGAGAGAGTGGAATGGAGAAAGAAAGAAAGAAGAAGGGGGGGAGGAGGTAGGGGAAGACTGGGTGGCGGGGTACTGGGTGAAGTGGGGCTGGGTGGGGCCGGGTCAGGCGGGTGTGCCCTGACAGATTGTCACCACCGCCCTTAATGGGCTGTTACGCTGGAGCAGCGGACCTTAACGGTCGCCGACGGCGAGCCATGGTAACGTTTCCCACACCCTGACAGTTCCCCTTCGAAAAGCCAAAAATTCCCTGAGAACAGTGGTGGTGAGTCTGAAATTGCTGGAATATGGAAGTGGCTTACTGTTGAAACTAGGCTATTCAAGCTTCTGATGGCTCATGCATGTTGTCAGGTCATTGAGGGTGAGCTCACATGGCAGATCAACATGCTGAACAGGAGACCAGCAGCAGGTTCATCAGAGCACCAGCTCATGTGTGCTTCCCTCCCTGTCACCAACAACTTCTCCCACCCAGATCTGTTAGATGGATGTGACAGGAATCCATGGAGGGCGCAGGCAGAAAATGAAGAATACTGCCCATTTGCCTTGGGAAATGTCATCTGGTTCAGGGACATTGATTACAACCTGAACATGACAGATGATTGGCATAGGCCAATTTCCCCTGGATTCAAAGCACGAGCCACACTTGGATTGGGACAGCATCAGCTACTGCTAGATCGGTATCTCAAACACCTCTCCAGCTTTACCATCGACGAGCTCGAAAGAATACTTTCAGCTACCCCCTATGTCACACCACCTGCTCCTTTCCATCTACCAAGACCTAACCACACACTTCCGCCAGATCTGCCAGAATCACTAGATGACCTGCTAGCAAATGCTCATATCAAATTGAAGGAGAGCGCTACCAAGCACCTGAAGGATTCCTACTCTTTCCCCAACTCAGATAACAGTGATGGGGTCCCTCAGCTTGTTCAAGGGACCACAAACCTGATATTGACCAAGAATATCCAGCAGATCCTGGACTTTACTTTTCCAACATGCTGCAGAAAGATGCAATCCCCAGAGCTGTTCTACCATACTGTCTGTAATCCAGACAGTCCAGTTGCACACCCTGGTATAGGGTACTTTAAAGAACCAGATCTTTTCCGCAGTGGATTCACTGGAGCTCACATCAGGAAGCACAACCCCCCAGAGTTCCATGTAGCATTCCAGCTCTCTTTCCCACCAGCTGACCTGAAATGGGAGGAAGCAAGGATGAAGGGGACATACAATAGGGAGAGGAGAGAAGGCCAACCCATGAGATATGGGGATGAGAGAGAGCAAGGGTGGATAAAGTACAAAAATGGTGGTAGGGGTTGGAAGCAGCATTTGTTTCATGCCACCTGGTGGGAATTCATCCGGAGATTCGACTATACTGGTGGCGATCATATTAGGGAGAAGGTCTGGAAGAATGTGTACTCCAAACTTGTTTGGGCACCCTATTCTGACCTTTCACAAATGTGGTACACAACATCCAATGCCAAAAGTGCAGAGACCTTCCCTGCAGATATGGCAGGTCAAAGGCTTCCCATAATCATTCTCAATCCTTTGATCAATGATAAGGCTATGTGGGATGGATCTTTGATTAGGAGGGGGGAATGGGTGTCACCGACCCTGTAGCATGAAGCCTTGTCTTATCATTATAATTACTTGTTATATTATTTGTTATAATTTTGCCAGTTTCAATTTCATTTTTCATGATTGGAGAGTGGGAGAGCCACTCTGGCCTTGGGGCCCAGGGAAGCAAGACAGGGGCCAGCTGGATCGTAGTGGGGTCCCAAAACTCAGCTAAATAGTCAAAAATGTTTGTGAAGAGCCCCAGGGAGATTCAGTTTGTGCATCCAACCCACCTATCAGGATTTTGTTCACAACAAGGTGCTCAGTAAACAATGAGTTTTGGTCACTTGCAAACGTGGGGAGTGGACGATTCCCATGTCCACACTCACCCCACCTTTCTGCCTGAAAATTGTGACATCCATGTGTGCGTTTCGGCAGCAAAATATAAGATCGAAAGAGGAGAATTAGGTTTATTTTTCTGCCGAGTTTCATACCAAACGGTGCAGTATCGACAGAGATATGAGGACACTCAACACCATGTCAAATGGCACATGCCTATCTCAAGATCCACCAAGCCAAATGGGATGAATGGCATATCAGCATGAAGCTAGAGTCAAGGAGAGTCCAATGGAGATGATGGGAAGGTGTTATATACATTGATTGGGAGGGACAACGTTGTGAGGACAAGTCCATGCATGGCAAAAAGTCAGATTCTGCAGATTCTACCCACCAATGCACAATACATAACTGCAGATGCTTCCATTGCTCGTTTCCTTACTATCCAACACTCCATACACTCATTCCTTACTTTTTCCTTATTTTTCCCAACATTCCCGACAGTCCCAAGTCAATTTTCCCACACCCAACCACACCGCCAATTTCACCCCCTCCCCAGACTGCCATAACCACACATTAAACCCAGCAGTTTTTCTACCCATTGGTGACGATCTACCTTCCCCCTTTGCCCACGGAGCATTTCCCAGAGTGGAAATCCCATACTTGGATGGTTCAGCATGGTGTAGAGCCTCATGTGGTCTTGACAGCACCTGTCAATGGCCATATCTCAGGAACTACTGCACCAATTGGGACAAATGAGGGTTCGTTGGAAAGCTGGAGACGAGGAGGTTGCCGGCAAGAGGATAGGCGGGCGGTGTTGCGGAGTTAACTTTTACAATTTCCGTCTGGGACCCGTTGTCACAATTTCCCCATTCATTCATATTTCTTTTATTGTTTCTCTGTTCCTAATTGGACATTCTTTATTTATGGTTGCCTATCAGCCCATTCAAATCTCCCCATCCCAATCATTTCATTTCCAGTTCATATAAAATAGAAAATACCTTGTACATGTACATAACAAGTTAGCAATGAATAGACCCATGAAGGAGTAAAAAGTAGTTACATCCAAGTGGCAAAGATGCCATCCATGACCCCATGCCCCCCCTGAGCTTGTTGCTAACATCTAACACGCCTCTACTCATAATCCTTGGCCTTGATGTCCAAGAGAGATGTACATGAGTGTTTAGTTGAGGCTCTAGTAGACATGGTAGCACCCCAAGACCAAAACCCGGACCTCCCATACACAATCACTACCACCCTCTCCCTTTGCTCTGTCTCGAGTCTAAGCGATAGACCCATTACAGTGCCAAGTCAAAATTTGCATGCCCAACATTCATATCAGGAGAAAGGTGTCACGGCCGTGCATTCCAGCCCGTTCCCCGCCCATCCCAATGCCGCCCGAGCCCATTCCTGCTACGCGAGCGTGAGTGCAAGCCCCAACCTCAGCCCTATCCTCCCTGAGGACTCCCTGCTCACTCCCCTGCTTGCCCCTAGGCTCCCCTGCACCTGGCCGACTCCCCCACAGTGTCAGGGCACACCTGCCTGACCCGGGCCCACCCGGGCCCACCCGGCCACACCACACCCGCTCCCCGCTGTCTATCCCCCTCCCCCTCCTTCCTCCCTCTCCTCCCCTTTCTTTTTCCTTTTCTTTCCCCTTTCTTTATTTCATTCTTCTCATCTTCCTCTTCCTGTTTATTTCTTTCTATCTACACGGACCACCTTCCTTTGTATCGATGTACTATTGACCCGTCCGGCCCACACACCCCGGACGGCTTCCCGCTGTGCCCAGCACGCGCGCATGTAGCGGACGCTCTCAGGATCCCCCACGGGGGCACCTGGGTGCCTGTGGCTGCCTCCAAGGATGACGTGGCACCTGTCATGTGACTCAAGCCGCATGTACATAAATGTACCTGAAGTGGGAACCGAAGAAGTAACCTTCTTCTCACATTCTCCACTTCAGGTAAGTAGTATAGTTTTCCCCTTTAATAATAATAACACATTCTCCACTTCAGTCTGAGTGGCCAGGGACCACTGTCCCAGATCGGGCCCGCCAGTACGCACGCCCGCTCCACACCCCGCGACGGCCTCAGTGCCGGATATTACCCCCGGGCCCTCTCGACCCCGGATGCGTCCCTGACACACAGCCACACCAACCTTCCCACCCTGAGTCCGCCTCTGGCACCGTGCCCAGTGCGACTCCCCTACCCCACCCACTTGGCCCCTACAGGGCCGCTATCATCCCCACGCCCGACTCCAGCCCAACTCCGAGTCCAGTGCCGCTACGATACCATCGCCGCTATCGTGGCCCTACGCTCTTTCCTTTATTTATCTGTTATTGTTTGTTTTGACCCTCGGTCATTGCTGGCTGCTATGCGGCCAACCCCACTCCTTCTTCTTGTTTGCTTCCGGACCCTTCGGCCTCCGGCCCAGGTCCGCTTCCATTCATTCCTTCTTCCTATATATATCCTGTATGATACTTTATTGTACCTTAGCTCTAATATCGATGTGACCACAACCCCTAAGTCCTGACCCCAACAAGGCAACCCCAGTGAGTCTGAAATGAGGGCCAAGAGACAGCTAGGGGGCACAGCACTCCCTTTAGAGTTGCTGAGGCCAAATGCCCTACCCTCGGGCCATGTCATGGCATCATGGCCATTGCGGCCTATAGCGGCCCGCATCAGCGACCTTCGGTGCCGACCCCGGACCAGTGTCTAACAAAAGGTCAACACATATCTTGCGCATGGACACATGATCTACATGATTGTCCGTCATTCCTTTCTTGATTACTCTTTTCCAGCTGCATCATAGAAGGCTTAAAAGCCCTAATTTTTCGCCCTTGTCTCTCCCTCAGTTCGCTTGTTCAGAACTGAGGTGAGCTTTCTTGTCTTCGCTGACTTGGTCGATGACAAAAAACCTTGTAAATATCCTAGCACTTACAACGTGCTAGGTAGATAAGCAATTCATTTTAGTTGGCTTGTTCAGAACTGAGCACTCGCAACATGCTAGATTCTCACAATTCATCGCCTCAAATACCATTGAAACCTGTTCACTCTCTAGACACTGGTGATGTCAACCCACCCTCCTAATCCAGGGAGTATCGTCCCAAATGGAACATCCTTAGGCTCTGTTCGGTAGAACGAAAGAAACTGCTTGTGTCGGGGCATCCTGTATGTACCTATACTGTTATTTTTTAAAATGCCATCATATACGATAATGGCCACATGCAAGACTAGCAATATCAAACAACATCGCATCTAGTATCAACAAAAACTTATCACTCTATTGGCACCATTCTCATTGCTCCATGGAAATCCTGACTGCTCTGAAAGTCTTTTGATGGCCCAGTATATCTGTTTTAACTATGGTGGAGATATAGGCAGTGGTCTGATTAGTCACTCATCTCATACTCACCTTGCCATACTTATTCTTACAAGCACTCGGCTTGAACACAGTCCTGCATTCTGTCAGAGACCAGATTCGAGACGAGGGAATGTCTCCGTAACGGAGGGCTTCGGCCTCAGCGACTTCTGCCAAGAGCGCTGTGCCTAGTGACACGTCCGTGCCCTAACTTACTGACTGGCAATTAGAACCTAGGGGGGGTAACTCTAGTTGATTTTTCTACTGGGGCATAACCTATGTACAAGTGGGATATATATATGGTTACAGCGGAGACGGTTCCACAATTGGCGGAGCCGAACGGAGTGGAGATAATGGGGTTTAAACATTAGCAGACTGAATATTACCGACGAGTCGGTTCACAGGGTTAGCGGAAAGGCAGGCGGTAACCCAGAAACAGGAAGGAGGGATAGGCCCGAAGGTGGGCTCTGCAGGGCAGGCGAGTGTATTGCCCAGCAGAGGCGGGGGTGCGCTAGCAGACATCGGAGCTGTCCGGAAGTCTTCGGGGCTCCGTACTTAGGGAGGCGTAGGTAATAAATTGAAATGAGGGGGTGGTGACCATCGAGGGGCGCCGAGAGGATTGCGGAATACAGGGGCTCTGAGGTTAGTGAGGGAGGAGCGGAGTTGGATCGGAGGGATCGGAGGGACCGGAAGTCAATGGCCGGGGATGGATATGACACATTCCTCAGTTAAGTGTGCAGAAACTGAGTTCCAAACCTTGTCTTTGAAACTGTTATTCGAGGTGCCACCTGCACGCTTAACTTCAAGAAGGGAGTGGACGAGCTCTGCTTCCTCATGTGATTTCCAAACAGCATGCTTGGAAGGTGGGTTTGTGGATTCCCCCTGTACGATGTCGTTTGTTATCGAGGGATGGGTGTTGCCAAGATCAGCATCCATACTTGTAACAATAATTCACGCTTAATTTACATGTGTGAGGTTTATAAGAAAAAAGCTGTAGCAAGAAATGACAATGAAACCGGCATGCCGAACACTCGTCAGTTTCTTCTCGTTTCTTGATGAAAGTGGCAGAAGAAACAAGAAAGAATCAGTCACCTTTTGAATGAAGAAACAAAAAGAAATGGGTTTCTTTCTACCGAACGGAGCCTTAGTGTATGGATGATTTGACATGGTGTTGAACCTCATGTGCTCTCAACAGCACCTGTCATGAACTGCTGGACCAAATGGGATGAATGAGGTATCATTGGAAAGCTGGAAACGAGGAGAATTATGATGGTAGGTGAGGAGAGCGCCATAGAGGAGTTACCTTGCAAGGTCACTTTCGAGTCTGGAATTCCTTAGCATTTTTCCCACCTCCAGCAATGTCACCTTGC